AAAGGGTGTTGGTCCCGTGAATCATTAATCAAACATTCAGCTCCAAACCTACATAGCAGACGGTCCGGATTCAAGTCCCAAATCCCCCAGGCCTGGGGCAGGAACGAGACCGACTGACGACGGCCAGAAGTGTCCCTTCAGTCTTCCGTGTCTTATCAGATACTTTTTTGAGAGTCCTTTTTCCTATCTTCTTGACAGCCGATTTGGTAAAAATTAGTAGTCTAGAGTCTGGGCCGGGATTCACATCGATTCTTGGGTAACCGTACAGACATTTGGGCGCAAAGCCGCCTACCTTTTTTCGATCTGAGCGATTTCTCCCCAAGGATTGTTCACCAGGATGGATCATATACGGATCCCGTTCTAACACGAAACAGACAAAAAAGGAAAAGCAGAGCTGATAGCAATTTTAATTTATTTTTTATCTATTATTTATTTATTTTTATTATCTATTATTATTATTTATTTTTTGCGGGAAGTATGTTGTAAAATGCTCGACATTCTGAGGGTTGTATACACTTCGATAATGTAGAAGTAATTAGATAATGAAACCTTGTGGTCGGCAAATAACCTGTTTGATCCATAATGTGCCAGATCATTTAGTTAAACAGTCTGAAATTTCGTTCGTTTTTAATAAATGAAAAACCACCATAAACTGAAGTAGCTTCTTGATCAGGTCTCCCATTGAAAATGTCAATTTCACCCATATACTGATGTGCCATTAGCCAACAGAATCGCACTCAATTACACTTCACTCGTGGTTCAGCAAGGCCTGAAACGGTAGACTTTATGTCACAGGACACCGGTGCGCATTTAAACAGGCTCAATTGATTTTGGTAGAAAGACATCAAACTACGACTTTTGAGCGCAAATTCGAGAAACAAAAGCCTAGTCATGTTCAGTTGTATGATCAGGGTAGATTAGCGAACACTATTCATCTCGAAAGCCGGCTAGTTCCGGTCTTCCCAGCTTAAGGCAATGAGTTGCTGATGGTGGTAAAGAGAGGCAGAAAGGCGTCGCCATCCGATAGGCTACCTTACGCGCGGTTTCCAGCAGAAGTTTCAAGGCAATTAAGTACTCTGGCTAGAAATTTATGCTATTATGAAGAGGTTATAGAGGGCTTATCAGATTTTGCAATGGATGTGGACTACGTTGTTCACTTTATAAGCAGCACTAATAAGGGTGCTGGTGCGATGCTGTACGATTGGACATGTCACTGTCTTAAAATATCTCATAATTACAAACTCTTTTAAAATTGAAAAATAATCTTTCTTCAAGTAAAAAATGTAAAGAATACGTAATCTGCTACCAAATGAGTAAAATCACGAATAATGTTGTGTATGTTTTTCTATAAAATATATTTGAATTTATAAAGGCATCGAAAATCAATGGGGAAAAATTCATGCAACTTAAATAATCATTTTTTACGGAATATGGTCTATGCAGGCGATCGATAAGAAGCTCATTCGAGAGTCGGCACCCTGGCGTGACTGATATATCTTAACATTATCCGATCTGATGATTATTATTACAACCGTACTGAAGCGATCTTTTGGAATGAAAAACGCATTGCAGAATTTTAGCGAAAATTTCATGAGAAAGCAAATTTACTGTACTCTGGTTAGGAGTTCAGTTGACATTACTCGTACTTCAACCGTGTCCATTCATTAGGACCTTTTATAATCTGCTGTTTATATCCACCCCCACAACACATGCAGGCTTCATGGTGGCATTCAATCGCCCACACGCCATATCGGAGATCTGGGCAACCTCCAAGCTGACGCGCATGGGATTCTCTGCACCAACAAGTACTATCCTGAAACAGATCTGACCGGGAAAAACGGTGTCCTCGGAAGGACACTGGTGATCCACGAGAGGGAAGATGACCTGGGAACGGCTGGGACAGCGGACAGCCAGGCGACCGGCTCGTCAGGAAAGCGTCTCACCTGTGCCGTAATCACCCCGATCTGAGAAAATGTCAAGGCCCTCTCCTTCTTTCGGCTGCTTATTTTTTGCACTACACATAAAGATTCATAGATGTTTTGGTAGATTTTTAATAATTCATATTGACCAAACTGTATCAGATTTGGCGGATTCCAGACGTTGCAGTAGGTTCGGCGGGTAAACTTGGCCCTAACGTGATTAAACTCGCGTCGTCTGGCGGGGCCTCGTAGCTCAGGTGGTTAGAAAGTTGGCTATGCTAAAGCCTTCACCTTACTGTCTTGGGTTCAGATCTCACCGATGCGCCGAGTTTTTCATAGTTGGGTCAATATGAATTACACATAATGAAATGAGTTTAAAAAGAGTTAGAGCTTTGTATTGACGGCTTTGTTCACCGAATATATAAGTCCAAAAATGAGGTGATATTTCGCGTGATCTAGCTTTTCTGGAGTAAGATACCCGTGGAGCTCTGTCGGATTGTGAGCAATAAGTGGCCTAGCCAAAAGCAAATTTCAAATAAACAGGCTGCAATTATGTCGACCAATAAAAAATTGAGGACGTTTACAAAGAGGATCGGTGTAGAATTCAGTTGATCAGCCCTAAAGACGGAAATGCAAAAGCGTGGTCGATCGTATAGCGTGTGCTGAGGGGAGATTATGAACCGTTATCTTAAAAAAGTCATCAAGGCAGGGTTTGAGGAATAAAGTGTTTGGATCATATTCTAAAAAAGCTTTTCAATCGAAATGGAGGGTACAGTTCAGTTTACTGCACACCTGAGCATAAGAAAGCTCTCGGCGATTCGTGCATTGTTGTGCATGTTCCATTCCTCAAACAGAATCCCAGGATTTCAAAAAATTGCCGAATTTTTCTTATTTTTAACACAAACAGACTGTCGATCGTTTTGATCGCTTTGGAAGCCCTGACAGCAAGCGGACTGAAAGTTTCTCCATAACAACAAACAATGCATTTGCGGTTGTTGAAAATGCAGGCTTTTAACACCTCGAATTTGACGTCCAGGAGGATTTTCGGACATCCTAGTTGTTCCGAACTTCCCAATTAGTAGGTGGCATTTCTCGGGAAACGTGGGGACTTAAATTTTTCGCTTCCTTCATATTGAGTGCGCATTGAATGGGAACGAACGATCTGCACCGTAGATCAGGGGGCTATCTTTGTACTGCTTGTGGAGTAGCCTTGTGGGATATTAACACCCAATAATGAAGTAGTTTTTAGAAAATAGGAAACAAACGATCCCATCCCCGTGGTACAGTACTGCTCAAGTTCGCCACTCGAGAGTGGAAAACTGTCAGGACCTGTCCATTTTTGCGAAAACTACCAACTGAGTCGTCGACAACCCCCGGTCCCTCTTTTTTGCAGATGGGCTCGCAACTTTTGGTGTGTGGACGCAGAGTCAGCTCAATAGTTTCTTTAGTTTTTCTCAGATGTCAGGAGTCCTTCAACTTCCGGGCTGTTTCTCAACGCTCCCGGGTGTAACCAAATGCATGTCGACCTGAAGTTCAATATTCACACTTGACAGGCCATTTGTGGCATGTGGGACTACCACGCCTCACCGCAGCATTGTGCGTCTGCCTTCGCCTTGCCATCTTGCGGTCATTCATGCCCGCTTAGTTAACTGAGCAGCAATCACACTTGCTAGATTAGACGACGGCTGACTGCCTGTCCCTTTCTGGTCTATCTTTAATCTGGGTACCATGGCAGTGAGTTTTGTCGTCGGGCTGATGGACGAAACCTACATCTGAATATCATTGCTGACAAAGACAAGGGAGACTGGAATGACCGTTTTTGGCTTGCCGGCCGTCATCAGCCAGCCAACCCCGGGGCTCGAGCTCGCGAGCCGTTAGTTAGAAGTCCAACGTCTCTAACCACTGGGCCAATGAGCTCGTTGTCCTGTCAGTTGTGGTCGGGCATATTAACAAGGGATTTCTAACCAGTGAGTCGCGAGTTTGAGCCTCGGGAGTTGCATGTCTCGGGGTGGATACGGCTCGCTGATGACAGCTAACGAGCCAAAAATTGCTACCACGGCAAAAAACGCCTGGAGTCGTTTATCGGATATGGTGCAGTTGCGGACAAAACAACTACGTCAGAGAACTCGGAAGACTGCTCCGGACGCGAACGGCCGAATACGCTGCAGTAGTGTGGAGACATGACGTCAGCTCTCAAGTTGTGGCTCATTCGACGAGACCCGGCCACACATTCCAATTCGATGAGGCCGAAATTCTCGCTATAGGTAACAACCGCGTGAGCCACTAGCTGCTTTAGTCACGATTCACTGGGCTCCAGTCTAGAAACAAGATTTCGGTGCTGAGATTTCGCCTAGGCGGAGTAATTAGCTACGCGGAGAGCGCACAGGTAAACACTGTTGCCAACGCCAGGGTCGGTGGGTCAGATGCTCGAGCAATCATCACACCAACATCCAACGCACGTGATGAAATTGCAGCAATTAAAGACGCAAACCTCGGCCATCAGACAGTCATCGCACGATCCCTGATAGAGGAGAGTAAGTCGTGAATTTTCATAGGTATGTGATTGCATGCGACTACAATCTATAAATACCGCGGCCCCTTGTGCACTCGTATTGCACACAACTGCGTTAGTGGCTGATTGGGTGGTTGCTGTTGTAGTTCAGTACTTGCATCGTATTTGTCGCTTTCCTGAACACTTTGGTTTTTATTCTACCACAACCTTTGCGGCATACGAGGACGTCCAGGAAGGCCAGCTGGTTGTTCTCTTCCTCTTAGAAGACATTTAAAGCTAACCTCATTAGAATACTACTGCCAATAGAACCGAATAGACGAGTCCCAGGAAGAAGTCTTGAAGTCTTGAATAGAAGTCTCTTCGCTTCTATTGGCAATGTATTTGGGCGCGACGCACTCCGCTCGACCCGGCGATGGGAAAACTTCACCCTTCGGGAGGACTCCACGTATCTGCAGATCCGGTTTCTGCACAGGCGTCTCGACAATAATGTGTTACCGAAATGTGTTTAATACAAGCCTCCGGTTAACACAGATTTGGCGAGACGAGCAGTATTTCAACATGGCAGAAGGATGATTCGAGTGCTCCTCCAAGATTGCCACGCGAGACTTCGCAAGTACCGTCAAAGGATTGACCAAGAAAAGACCAGATGCTGTGAGTTCATGGGTGAGATCGGTACAAATCTGCTCCTGCAGAGGACAGCTGAACAAGCCCGCGAACAGAGAATGATACGGGACGCAGCACTGGAGAACAAATTCCGAAAGCTGCCCAATCCAACGTCGCCGAGAAACGAAAAACTGGTGCACAACCTGTCGTCAAAGGAGCTGACGAAGGATCAGATGCAGGTTTTAAGGCACGAAGCTTCATTCAGCACGACTGACGCCAAACCTAATAACATGATTGCAGCAGTGGAATCAATCCTCAGTCAGACGAAGGCAACGGAGGAGACCAAGAGTCTCATCAGACACCAAGTGTCGCCTCTCCTAATGGCCCACAGGCCGCGGGAAGTGCTTTCCAAGGTCGAACGTGATGCACTTAGAGAACTCAAGGCCGAAAAAGACTTGGTCATCGTGCCAGCGGACAAGGGGCGCTCCACGGTTGTGCTGGACAGGACAGACTACCTTCAAAAAGCCAAAGGTTTACTGGAGGACCGACAGTTCTATGTCCCATGTGCAACGAACCCTGTAAAAGCGCTGACACGTGAAATTAATGCTACGTTGTTGGCCTGGGAGAACTCAGGTGCAATAACACCGACCGACAGACGCATGGCGAGACCCCAAGATACGGCTTTGGCAAGATTCTATAGCCTCCCTATGGTGCACAATGACGGCGCTCCTCTCCGACCCATTGTGTAGCTCAAAGGTACTCCAACGTACGGACTGGCTAAAGGGCTGTTCCGGCGTCTCAAGTTCCTGACCGCTGAGTCAGACACCACGGTCTCTTCGTCAGCAGAATTCCTAGAGAAACTCAAAGGGGTAAGCATCCATCCAAATGAGGTCATGGTATCTTTTGATTTTACGTCCCTTTTTACTTCTATTCCCCAAGACCTGACGATCGAGACAATTGAGCTGCTACTACAAAGCAAATACGATGAAACGGAGAACCCTCTTGGGCACGCCCAAATCCTTCAGCCCCTGAAGCTCTGTCTCAGGACGTACTTCACGTTCGACGAGACAATCTACGAACAGGTGAAGGGCACACCAATGGGTTCGCCGATTTCGGGATTCATCGCCGAGGCGGTCCTGCAACGGTTAGAGTCGCTGGTCTTCCAACACCACAGACCGAAATTCTGGGCCCGGTATGTGGATGATATCTTCGTCGTCATCGAACGGGATCAGGTGTTGACATTCCAAGAACATCTTAACGCCGTCTTCCCGGACATTCAATTTACGATGGAGGAGGAAGAGAACAACCAGCTGGCCTTCCTGGATGTCCTCGTATGCCGCAAGGATTGTGGTGGACTAAAGACCAAAGTGTTCAGGAAAGCGACAAATACGATGCAAGTACTGAACTTCAACAGCAACCACCCAATCAGTCACAAACGCAGTTGTGTAAGGACGCTCTATCGGCGTGTCGAAACGCACTGCAGTGAGCCGGAAGACATGATTGCTGAACTACAATACCTCCGACGGGTCTTCAAAGCCAATGGCTACCCGTGCAACTTTGTCAACCGGTGCATACGCAAAATGGACGAAAGGCCTAACCGCACGGACACCAAAGATTGGCGAGCGCCTTCATATGTCAAGTACGTTAAGGAAGCTGTTGGCCGCCTTCTCGCACCACTTGGGGTTGCAGTTGCACACAGACCGGAGGAAACCAACAGGCGTCAGTTAATGAAACCGAGAGGCCCACTGCCACGACAAGAAACGTCTGGAGTCGTTTATCGGATCTGGTGCAGTTGCGGAGGAAGTAATTACGTCGGAGAAACTGGAAGACAGCTCCGAACGAGAATGGCTGAACACGCGGCAGCGGTGCGGAGAAATGACGCTAGCTGTCAAGTCGCGGCTCATTCGCCGGGTCCAGGTCACACATTCAAATTTGATGAGGCCGAAATTCTCGCAAGAGTTGACAACCACGAGAGTCGAGAGCTGCTTGAGTCATGGTTTACTGGCCCCCAGTCTATTAACAAGTGCAATGATCTTCCCATTCAGTACTCGGTGCTGAGACTTCGCCTAGGCGGAGTAATTAGCCACGCGGGGAGCGCACAAGTGAACACTCTTCCCAACGCCAGGGTCAGGGCGTCAGATAGTCGAGCAGTCATCACGCCAACATCCAACGCACGTGATGAAATTGCAGCAATTAATGACGCGAATGACGGCCATCACGCCACGTGCAACGATCCCTGAATAAGGGGGGAGCCGTGAATATTCATAGGTATGCGATAGCATGGCTACTGCATCCTATAAATACTGCAGCCCCATATGCATGAATCACCCTTATCTGCTTTTGTCTCTGATGACGAGTTCGAGCAGGAATACGAGACGTCAGGCGAGTAAAGCTCTTGTCCCAGCGATCGTGTCTCCTTCAAGATGTATGGGATTGTCGTCCTGATAACAGGAGACATGCACTGTCTTGTTTGTCAAGCGCGACAACTAAGAAAAACTATCGGGGAACGATAAAAGGAAGTAGTGTGACAATACGTCAAACAGATGTGTAGGGTCTATCCAGTTAATTTTGGATAAAATCGAACTTATTGTAACACGTTATGAAATATACTCCTATCTGATGACATGAGTATTCCATGAGGACGAACGTTGATTGTGAGATTGTGTTATTTGAGAGTTCAACATTACCCAGATCCTTATATTGCCTTAGTAGGTTGATTCCCTGGACAGCTGAGTGGTACAGACGATGAACGCAACTATGAAATAAAGGAAAGCTGCTGTTTTAAAAATATAATGTTAATAGGAGCTTTAAGAGAGTCAAGCACAGCGTGAGTGTCGAGGCACTGCGCGCCATCAGAAAGTCTCCAAGCAGAAACTTCCTTGGTTGGTTATTTACACGTCCCTTGTCCGGCATGTTAGAATGGGTAAACGACTGCGTGATGTGCAGCCGTTAACTTTTCTGGACTTTATCATTTGGTTGCAGTAGTTATTGCGTTCTTGTTTGAGCGTATAGTCATTCTGTTCTACCATAAACTCGATCAGTTGAAAAAGGCTGTGGATAAACGGAGATTACTACAAAATGAAAAGTCAATCTAAGGAGGAAGACTTGAAACGGTGCACTTAGTTCTAACTTAAACACCGACTGGTCCTTTTCCAAAATTCAACGCAATAATTCAAAGGGAACTTTTCCCACTAATGAGCAGATGGTGCGTCTCCAAACCTCAACGACTGACACCATAAGTAGACCAGAATCCCAGAGGAAAATGAGAAATCGAAGGGATATACAAGAGCGTTTGCGCCTAGATTATTCCCTGGAGAGAAAACTAACTATTAACACAGAAAAGACGACCCAATTCTTCAGTTTTTCCAGGTCCCTCCACGTCAAGGGTCCTGTATTTGATTAGCATCTACATTCCTTAATAACCAGAACCAGCGACTTAGCTGGCACGCTGTCATTCACAACGAGTAGATTAAGATACACTTTTGGAGAGCTAAGCTTCACTTACTCACCCGGGCAGGATAGCATCTCTGCAAAAGTTTCAAATGGACTATTCGAGCAATTATCTCTTGTGATAGGTATAATTTTCGAAATCTCACTGGAGGCTGGTGCCTGCCTACAGTTTGGAAGAAAGCCAACATAATCTCCATGCATAAATGAGATGAAAGGACCCCACCGAACAAACGTTCACGCTATGGTCCCAACAGGATTTGCTGTAAATCGCTGGAGTAATACAGAAGCGGAATTAATTTGGCCCCCTGGGGAAGGAAAACTGTTTAGTGTTCATTAACACGATCTTAGAAGCTGACAATCTTAATGCACTAAGCTGGTGATATCCATAGAAAGCCGGACAAGCTCGTAAAGAATGGACCAGTTAGGGGATGCAGTCTGCACTGATTTCCGAAAAGTTTGAACACTATTCAAACTAACCGACTAATATTTCGCTAACCACAGCGGATATGATTGGGAACCCTCTAAAATAACTAGCAGTCTTTCCCCGACGTTATCAGAACGAGCACATTGGTGATGTGAATTCGGGCCGAGCAACTGCTCATAGTTAGGATCTGCATGGAAGTTTTTCGGACCCCATTCTGCTTTTAGTATATGTGGGCGACTGCCGGATATACGTGTGCTGTGAGTGAGTGGTGTTTGCCGGCGATCTCAATTTTTGAAAACAATAGAAAGACCAGATGATGCAATTTAGATCGACTGCAAATATGGTGCGGGGAATTGATCCCTAAACATAATTTCAACAAATGCCAAGTTGTTTCTCTGCGATTTAGCACCGAGAGAACAGCGGCCTTTGAATCCCGCTATGGCATCGCAAGTCTCCAGCTATAGTCAGTTAAATTGTTAACTGATCTTTGTTTGTGGACGGTGGCTGTACTCAGACTAGCCTTTCAATGTGCCAAAGTGTCAGGGAGGTCCATAGGTGCGATCCGCAGATCCTTCCTATTTGAAGCATTTATTTGGTCAAACATAAAGTGCTGCGTCCAGCGGTAGCATCCATTAATGAAACTGCGTAGCCTTGCTTTTGAGGACTTGCAAGAGAGACCGGCCAAACCAGTCAGTGAAGTAGAATCCTTGTGTAATAAATGAATGCTGTCAAACTTCGAATTTTCCTCTTCCTTGTGTACAATTACGTAGCATTTGATTATCATTTCGAAAAGTCTCGAAATAAATAATGTGCGCTTTAAATTAGCAACTTAATTGACCAGGCGTAAACGATCAAACCTTCGCAGTTACCGACACAAAATAATGCTAAAATATGCCAAAACATGGCATGCGAACTGGACACTGTTCAGACTACGTTATTTGCCCAATGAACAAACTTTTCTGGCTGGTCCTGTTAAATGGAAATTTTTGGATCCATAACACAGGACTGAATGTGTTTCTCACTTTGTGCTAATATATCCGGAACCATTAGACCCTGACATAAAGTGATCCAAACGTCCTATAAACCTTTTCCTGTTTCCCATCTATCTACTTCTTAACAGTGTTTTCCAAAACTCGGTCCATCATTCTTATATTGAATTATGCTAAAACTTCCCAACATCAATACTACCATCCTCGTCCATTGCTCGGGTCCACTGCTAGTCGAGAGCCATCAACGGGAAATGCGCGAACAGTTCTGTCTGAAGCCGTGCTGCAGCGCTGAGAGAGAGAGAGAGGTTCTGTTCTAGGAACTTCATTATTGCTTTCTTAATTATGGATTCCATTATTTTACAGCAGATGCAAGTGAGACTAACAGGCCGGTAATTGTTGGCATTAGTGCATTAGTGGCATATAAAATAAGAGGGGAATTCGTCCGTGACCAGCTAATAAGATCACCCAAAATTTGTCTAGCTTTTTCAGATCTTATCAAAGGTTAAAATGTCACAAACTCAGAGAAGGGTCTTTGAGAAGGAAAAACTTCCGTGTATGCATTCTAGAACTTAGGTCATCTGCATTCCCGTTTTTAGCAACATTCCAAAAGAATCCGCGCTGAGCCTAGGGCTTTTTTCAACTTGCAAATGCAAAATGTCGGCTTTACTTTCCAACTAATGCCCAGTGTTTGCAGACCGCGCCAAGATCCCACGCTAGACATATGACCACGCTGCTTTGGATGCACTTGAGTCTGGGTGCACTCGAGTTTACCAGCGGACTGACTGGTAGAACCCTGCTACGAATGAAAACTAACTTTGTTTCTCGTAAGAAAAGCATGGTTAAACTTGAAAAGTGGCCACATGCAGTGTCTGGAAAAGCAGTAATCATGCGACCCAGACCAGTTCCGACTTTGAATTTATTTCGCCCATCAGGGCATTTCCGTCGGAGGATGCCTATGAACTGACTTCGAAACTCGAACGTAAAACTTAATCATTCACGTATATTCCAAGCCCTCCATCTAGTAAAGCATTCCATCACCATACACTGCATTTGGTCGACCGCAATATGCATACTGCTCACAGGTACGACCTTCCTACGTCGTACGTAACATGGACAATTCGCACACGTTAACCACCAGAAAACTAACCTTGCTCGATTCATTCGGAATCTAGGTCCAAGAAATAGGGTTTATAACCTTCAACTGTGATCGCTGCAGCAGAGGCAGTAACGTTCAACCCTCGTGGATACTTATAAGATAATTATTGGGCTGGTCGCTTTCAATCACGTGTTTTCGCTTTTGCGTAGTCATGTGGGCGTGTTTGAGTGCCGTGAACGGCCACTTGAGCCTCCAGTGAACACGGGCATTCAACAGACGAGTATTTCGTATTGTGTTTTTAGGCTCAGTACTTGTTTACCTCATGGTGTTATTCTCGTCCGTGCGCGAAAATTACTTAGCAGGTGTCTTGTGTCCTCGTGGAAATCAAGAATGACTTCAGTGGGATATGTCAGCAAATATTTAAGAAAATGTTCATTCCTCCACCACTTTAGTGTCGTATACTAAGCCTCAACTTTGCAGATAATGGTTTTTGATATAAAGCTTAAGCAAGCAAAGTTCGTCTGCATTTTCACTTTTTTCATGCATATGTCACTTCCGAATGTTCTGTCAGGCCTGCTTCTCTAAACTCCCAGTTTATGTCATTTTTCCTTATTTATTGGTTTCAAAAACTCGACAATTTTTGCTTTCCCAGCGCTTGATATGTTCACCGTCTAATCCAACATCATTTAGTCGCAGTGTGCTGATCGTCTGGTGGCTATCTTGCACCTAGAAATGGCTAATTCGATCTCCATTGGGCATTCCAGTGACTTATTTTGATTTCAATGTCATGATTCCAGAAGAAAGTCAACAAGATACTGGGGGATTCTTAATGTCTCACTGCAACATACGCTTTTACCTCCAACTTACTGTCCAACCATTACACTTGTTTTAACTCGCTACTCTGCAGCCAAACGGCTTGAAATTTAGCGGTCAGCTGATTCTCCATATGGAATTCTTTCGCCATGCTGACAGTCTCACTCATCTCATTTATTCGCAAATTAATTGCAGTTGCTCTGAATGCGATAAGAGAAAAACTACAACCGACTCCATGACTTTCCTCCTGCAGCGTCGCGGCTTGTGGGCTGAAACTATCTCGAACATGCAGTTTTATGAGCGTTTTAAAGTATGGTCTGCCTAAAATAACCAATATCTAAGAGCCTAAATCCTGCCCTGGTGTGTGACTTTAACAAGGCGAAGGAGTTGATTATTAGGTGCATTGCTGCCAGCGTGAATAATGTGAAGTTTCATGCAGACTGTGACACTCTTTCGTGCGAATATAGCACTTCCGTGAAGGGAGTGCAAATTGTTTACAAAATCAACGCATTTGCCTGTGGTTTTGATGTGGTTTGCACTTTTATTGCACCTTCATATTCAGATCCGGGCTCATTTGTTGGATCCATTGATGCTGGCTCTAAATACTATCTGTGTATCCGAGTCGTCTGGTGCGCCGAGTAATGAAACAAAACCGGAATCAAATCGTGTAAGTTGACGTAACCTTTTTTCCGAACTCCCTCCTAGGCTAATGTCTAAGCCCTCAAAATTCATATCCCTCGAGTCTATGTTATCTTAGTCGAAGATGTACAGCCTTGTCACATTAGGCCATATTACGTCGATTTCTTCGTGTTCTCCATAGATAAGAGCCTTTACTTCACGTTGTGGTATAACCCGTAGAAGGGGCATCATTTGTAGTCTCTAGTACCGATGTGAAGATCACATTTCCTTTTTTTATTTACGGCAACCTGTGACGCTCTCGAGATATACAGGATTTCCCGATTAATAAGATTCCCATTTCTATGGAAACCCACTCCTTGACATATTTGAAAACGATTTTCTTTTTGTGTAAATTCGCTATCGCACAGTTTTGTTTAACAAAAACAGACTGAAGATGTTACTCAATTTTACATTATGGTGAGAATTATGTTTCGTTTCGCAATTTTTCAATAAACCTCGGGGATTTTGACGAGTAGCCCATTTCCTATTTTGCGATACTCTCGCAGGATTACGCGGATATTACATTTTCGCCTTACGCGTTACCTTGTAAAAAATTCTTTGACCCCCACAACGGGATGCGCTGCAGATGGCACGGACCAAAAGCGGACCACAGCACGGATCAGTCAGGCTGCACAGAGTCTGGGCGAGCCCATGATTACCGTCGTACATGGGAGCAGTCTTATAGCACGCCTAGACGCAGGTCTTCGTTCCATGTCAGCCACCGCACCCACCTCCATCACCAACTGGTTAGCAGGCTCGAATAGTCGACTGGTATATGGAAGAGGGAAGAGAGAGCGAGACCAACTCTGGGAAATCCATCCTCATGTCGCATCAACGCATTCGTCGCTATAAAAAAAAAACCTGACGCTCTTGAATCTATCAGGATATGCTAATAGTCGTAGCTTGGAAGGTTTCCAACGGACGGGATAACTCGGTCCTCCTCAAAACGACGTGTCAAGTTGTAATGGCTCTTTGATATAGCCTTTGATCCCCACTCATTCACGCGAGATCCGATCTGTCCTTACGGCATCCTGGCACATTTAGTGATGATCCTGTCGTGTGTGGTACGTGTAACCGTCGCTCCCACTCTCCCCTCTCGTCGTCCTGACATTATCTTGCCATCTGAGTAAGGCAAGTGGGGAAGGAGAGTATAAGCGATGCTGCGCATGTCTGTTCGACTGTATTTCGCGCACAAGTCATCTGTGCTGCACCTACTCCGTGGAACTCCCAGAGGAGGTCGTGGTTAACGACGGTCGGACTGTCGAATATGAAATTCTAATCGCTGGCCAGTGAAACTCTCAAGAAAATTGATTTCACTATTTTCCAACGGCTAAATTCCCATTCTCATTCGCATTTTTGCGAAAGCAACCCTCAGTATAATCCGTCGCCGTTATTTATGGGGTTAATTAGAAAGGATTTTTTTCTGTGATACATGTTAATCTCAAAAAACTCTATTTTACTAAAGATTGGTTTAGCCTTTTCCGTGGTTATACCTCATATGTTTGGATAGGTACAGGAGAACTTGTATCAGTATTTTGCGTGTTTGTTTTGACTTCGCGTTTTTTCGTAATTTTTACTTGGTCTCTTATATAAGCACGATATGGGGATTCTACCCGTTGTCTCGAATTTCGTTAACTCCGCAGTTTGTCCGTTTTTAAGAAGCTTCCCATCTTTCTGTGAGTGAAGAGACTATTGAAAATAGTGAGTTTTCGCGCAGCTGATTAGCCTCGCCGTTATTCCCGTGTGTTTTTAGTTTAAGGGAAGCAAATTTGCTAATCGGGCTCTTCAGGAGCTGCCTTTTTTCAAAAGTCGAAGCACCTGATGGAAAAATTATCTGAGTCAAATGAATTGGGACTTCCCACAGACACAAGTGATCAAATTCGGTCGCATGTTTAATAAAAAAAAGACCGAGGTCTGCTACTAACCCGGTGCGCAGTGTTGCAATCCACGACTCCTGAAGTCTTGTCGTGATGCGGCAGAATCCCACTCAGCTAATTCTGTGAAGCGTTGAGTGTTTCGGTCAAAATTCATTTATCGTTTTTTTGCGACTGGCCTGTGAACTGATGAGCAAAATGGGCTGGAAATCCGGGAAAAATAGGCTCATTTGGTTGGACAATCGTATTGTGTAAGATTTCGCGCTTGAAATTAGATCTTTACGTCCTTAAATTCTGGGCAGCAAAAGATCTGTTTTTCTCAGACATCATTGTGTGCGGGCTAAAAGCGCATTTGTCAACTCGGGCAGAAGTTAAGGGCATCTGGATCACCACATAAAAATTCGGGAACTTAGTCGGCCACCTTAATGCACTGCTGAACTGTCGTTAAATTCCCACATTCCGTTATTTCAGGGTTGAAACAGGACAGATCACGTTTCTGTAAGCTCTTTTTGAAAACCTAACCGTATA